GCAAGTGAGAGAGGTTGATGTATGAGGGATCAGGGTTATGTAAATGGTTGGGATGTATGTATTGCCAGTTCTATCATGTTGGGTTCATATTTGCTTGCGCCGATGACGGCTCGGACAATCCCCGGAAACGCCGTGATGGAGGCGGTGGTGGTGGTGGTGGTGGGTGTGGAGATAGTGGCGGTGGCGGTGGCGGTGGCGGCGGCGGTGGCGGTGGGTGTGGTGGCGGCGGTGGTGGGGGTGGGTGTTAGATATATATATATGTATGCTTTGTGGATGTTGTGAAACGATGTTAGGTCAACTTAAAAATGATTTTGAATATTTGATTAATTTGCTGTTTTATATAATAAGGAATACTCAGATGTATGAATTTATAATATACTTGGCCTGCTGCAGTTAGCCTAGTTTGTATATATATGTAACATATTGAATGAATAAAGTGCCTTCCTTGTGTTCTATTACTGTTATTTCTCAATCTCCTAATAATAAAGTGACTTTCTTTTGGCATTGGAAACAACTGAAAACTTGTAATAAAATTTTGTGATGGAGATAAATTGGCTAGAAATAAATATATGTAAGAAGAATAGTCCATTCTTTTTCAAGACCGAGAAAAAGCAAATATATTAATTACCAAGCTGGAAAAGAAGAAATATATATTCCACAAGTATTGTATGCACACTTAGATTGTGAGCTGCAAAATTTGCATTTCGGTTTATAGACTTAAAATGTCATTTTGGCCAACAAGAGCAGTATGCACGAATGCAATTTTATATTAGGTGACTTAAAAAAATGGGATTTTCCGAAATCTGCCGATTCTGATCGGACAATTTCATTTTAAACGATTTTTCTCATCCCAATTTCTGAAATACTAATTTTTAATTTTTTTTAACGGAATTGGAATTAGTTTTTCACTTCGACCAAAAACGCTAATTCCGATCCGATCCGTCCGATTTCCACCTCTACTAGTGTCTCTTGTTAAATTAGATATTTCCTCCGTAATTCATCCCAAATCCGAATATAATAAGATCAATTCATCAAAGATGAAATTAAGATAAATAAGTTGAGACATGATATATAAATGCATTGCCTTTATCAGTCTTTCATGCAAATATTTTGTAGCAATTTAGTTATTTTAATTTTTTATTAGAGCTGGTGGTTGCTCGTTAATTTGAGGGCATAAATGTAATTTTTAAACAAGATGGCGATTTTTGTAATAAAGACATAATTAGAGTTATTACTTATTTGTGATTTATTTTTTTGGTAAATACAACTTAACCAACCCCCTTGTGGTGATAAACTTTTGCAGATGATCTTCTTATGCTTGTAATTTCAGCACATCTCCCTTTAATTTGCGGTTGATAAAGGTAGCGCCTGTTAGTTTCTATGTCAAACTTAACCGCACATGTCGAACTTCAAGGAATCATATGCAAGAATTAAAGGAGAAATGTAAGCAAAAGAGGTAATCTGCAAAAATATAGTATTTGACATTTGACATGCCTAGTTAATTTTATTTTTTTTTACGGAAAAACTAATGGAAGCTACCCCTATCAACCATAAGAGGGTTATGTGCTGATCGATATTATGGGCTTAAATGGGGTCATCTGCAAAAGCTTGTAACCATGAGGCTAAGTGTTATTTACACTTAAATTTTCTAGTAATTTTTCTTTTTATTTAGGGGCAATTTAGACATTTCATAGCCTAGTTAGGATGTATTTAGTCCACTAATTTAAGAGGATAATTGTAATTATACAAATAAACAAAATCCTCACTATTTAGATATATTTAAGGGTTATTTGTAATTAACCTATGTTAAATAATAAATATACCCCTTATATATATATATATATATATATATATATATATATATATATATATATATATATACTCATTATATTCATGTGATGAGCTATATATTATACCCTCTCAGAAGATATACTGTCCATGGTATATAAGTGATATGCCTATTGGCCCAGCCCAATAGCCCACATTTACTGGACCACAGGCCCAACTTAATAGTTATTTCTACAGAGGCCCAATCAAACCCAAATAAGGTTGGGCCCGATAAATTGTCTCGACCCAATCAATAAAGTATAAATAGAACTTAAATTCATTGAATGAAGGTACGTTATTATTATTCAATCAATTCTTCTTGAGGAATTCTCTCTACAATTACCAACTATCTTCACGTCTGACTTGAGCGTCGGAGGGGTTTCCGCCGGATCAACCCCCGGCTTAGATTACGTGTTTTCTGTTCGCAGGATCCTAGAGCAAATTAAAGTTCTCAGGACTATCTAGCTCGTGAGCACGTGACCTACTTTGCTCTCCCAGCTTCAACACATTAGGTGATTTATTTTTTACGTCATCATTTTGGCGCCGTCTGTGGGAATGCAGACCAGATCACGTAGCCAGCAAGATCCTCCTGAGTCCACTCGGAGAGAGAATGACACAGCTAACAACCTCCCAGTGCGAGGAGGCTCTGGCTTGCCACCTCCTCCACGTGCTCCGGATCCACCACGTGAGGTTCAGGTGATTCCCCCTCGGGATCCACCACTCGCCGATCCTCCACTACAGGCTCCACCTCTACCTGCTTCTCGAACGGTTCAAATAACCGAGGAGGCACTCCAACGAATGATAACAGAAGTTTCTACTCGCGCCGCCACTGATGCGGTGGCGCAATATATCGCCACGATGGCAGCAAATGCTCCCCCCGCGATCCCAGCTAACGCTCCCCCCGTGATCCCAGCTAATGCTCCACCCGCAATGCCACCCAGGGTACAGCAACCGGCCCAGAACAATGACGATCGGATAAGTGTATCCTCATCCACCTCAGATCCAAGATCCCGGATGCAGCTATCTACCAATCACAGGGAGCCACAACCCAAACAACAACGCCACCATTCGCTCCAACGGGGTGATGCGTCTCTACGAAGAGCTCATCTCTTTAATGAAGGGGAAGACGAGATAAATAGTAGAGTATCTCGCCAAAACCAGTTCCCCAGATTGAACAATCCAATTGACGGAAGAGCGTCAGTCCCAACAAGGCGCAGTCCTTTCACCCTAAACATCCTCAACGAGGTATTGCCTCAAGGAGTGAAAGTATCGGGCTTACCTCAGTTCGAAGGAACTACCGACCCGCAGGAACACATAGAGAAGTTCCACGCTATGGCAGACCTATATGGCCCGACAGATGCAGCAATGTGCAAGATGTTTCGCACCACTCTATCCAAGAGAGCCATGAATTGGTTCAACGCTCTGCCCACAGGATCAATTGACACTTTCGCTCAGTTGTCATTGCGTTTCACCAACCAATTCGCCATCAATAAGCAATATGCTAAAACTCCAGCACATCTCTTCTCTATCGTACAGAGAGACAATGAAACACTCCGCAACTACATCAGGCGTTTTGTGGAGGCTGTTCATGAAGTTCCCAGTGTAGGACAAGATATGCTCTCAGGGATTATGCAGCAAAACCTGAAGTCGGGTAGGTTCAAAGAATCTATCGCAGGAAGACCTCCTGGCAACTTAGATGAGCTGTTAAATCGAGCTGAAAAATACATACGCATAGAGGAAGCTTCTGCCAATGCTCCTCCCAAGAGGAAGAGAGAAGATGAACGCCCGGATATTAGGAGACGAGATGATCGACGTCCTCCACCCCCGCCTCAAGGCCAATCATCTTCAACTTATAATCGATTCACTCCACTCAATACTCGTCTCACTGAAATACTTCATGTGATTGAACAAAAAGGTCTGGCAGAGCCTCCACGCCCAATGCAACCCAATGCAAAACGAGAAAAATCGGATCGCTATTGTCGATTCCACAAAGATAAAGGGCATACTACCGAGGAATGTGCGCAACTCAAATTGGCGATTGAGAGGTTGATCAAGCAAGGCCACTTGAGCGAATACATTGATAAGCCTCGAAATAAGCGCCGCGATGATCTTCCACGCCGAGATAACAATAGAGATCAACAGCAACGACGAGAGGAGGGGGGTCATCGGCGCGACCCAGATAACAATGATAACCAACCCACCCGAGGAATCATCTCTTTTATCTCCGGAGGACCGGCAGGTGGCGACTCACAAAATGCGAGACGCACCCTCGCTCGATCAGCACGTATGAATCAAGAACATGCTTCTCCATCCGCATCCGTCTATCAAATACGAAAACCTGATCATTGCATAGTCTTCAACTCCTCGGACCTTGAACGTCCAGATGAAGATCATGTCGATGCGTTAGTGATAACAGCAACGGTGGCCAATTTCATAGTTAAAAAGATATTAGTGGACGGTGGGAGCTCAGCCGACATTATGTATCTCCACACATTCAAGCAGCTAAGCATAGACAACGCACGGTTCAGTCCCATCACTACACCACTGAAAGGATTCACGGGAGAAGGTGTTTTATCCATGGGGGAAATAGAGTTACCCATCTCCTTAGGGGAAGATCCTTGTCGAGTGACGAAAATGATAAAATTCCTTATCGTCGACAAACCATCCCCTTATAACATCATCGTGGGAAGGCCCGCGATCCATACATTCAAGTCTGTGCCTTCATCTTACCACCAAAAGTGGAAATTCCCCACTCCTTACGGGATGGGAGAGGTACTTGGAGATAGGCGTCTCGCTCGAGAATGTTATGCAAGAGCTCTACGTGAACCATCTAAGAGACCTATTCCTCTAGGGAAAGGAGACGACACCCCGAGACAAGATAAGCCAAAATGGGTCAACGCAGTCATCGAAGCTGATAAAGAAATCCTAATCAGTGTACCCGACGACACCGCCAAGCTAGCCGCGGTTGAAGAGCTCAAATCAGTAGAACTCATACCCGGAGATAATTCTAAGCTTCTCCGCATTGGCTCTGATCTAGATCAAGAAGTGGAGAATCAGCTAGTTAACTTCCTTAGGCAAAATGGAGACGTATTTGCTTGGAAAGCTCAAGATCTAACGGGAATTCCTCCGAAAGTAGCATTGCATCGACTAAACGTTGACAAAAGATTGAAACCGGTCAAGCAACGTAAAAGGACTTTCGGTCCTGAGCGCAACAAACATATCAAAGAGGAAGTGGCAAAACTCTTAGATGCAGGCCACATTAGATCGGTTCAGTATCCCGAGTGGTTATCCAATGTGGTATTAGTACCTAAACCCGGAGGCAAGTGGAGGCTATGTGTAGACTTCACCGACCTCAACAAGGCATGCCCGAAGGATCCATTTCCCTTACCAAGGATCGACCAGCTCATAGACTCAACCTCAGGGTGCGAACTTCTCAGCTTCCTGGATGCATATCAAGGATACAACCAAATATTGCTCGCCCCAGAAGATCAAGAGAGAGCTAGTTTCATTACTGACCAAGGCATCTATTGCTATCGAGTTATGCCGTTCGGTCTCAAGAATGCAGGAGCTACTTACCAACGCCTGGTGAACACGATGTTCGCGGACTTGATTGGTAAGAACATGGAAGTGTACATTGATGACATGCTTGTCAAGAGTATTAAAGTCGCGGATCACCTAACCGATTTAAGTCAATGCTTCTCCATCTTACGTAAATACAAGATGAAGCTCAATCCCCTAAAATGTTCTTTTGGAGTTCGAGGCGGAAAATTCTTAGGATATATGATATCACAACGGGGAATTGAAGCCAACCCAGCAAAGATTGAAGCTATCACCTCCATGGCCCCTCCCACATCGATTAAGAAGGTCCAACAACTTAATGGTTGTTTGGCAGCCCTAAACCGATTTATATCCCGATCGGCTGATAAGGGTCTTCCTTTCTTCAAGATACTAAGAGGTGGGAAAAAGTTTGAGTGGAATGAAGACTGTCAAAGAGCTTTCACAGAATTGAAAGCATATCTCACTTCCCCACCTCTACTAACGAAGCCCCAGCCGGGAGATACTCTTTTCCTATACTTGGCCATTTCTGCTGATGCCATTAGCGCAGTGCTCATTCGGGATGGTGAAAAAGGTCACCAACCGATATATTACATAAGCCGAGCTCTCCAAGGCCCAGAGCACCGTTACACCAATATGGAGAAACTTGCTCTCGCGCTCATCAATGCAGCCAGAAAGTTACGTCCGTACTTCCAGTCGCACCAGGTGATAGTTCTCACCAACTATCCCCTTAAACAAATATTGAGAAGTCCCGAGACTTCCGGACGATTAGCTAAATGGGCTATAGAGCTAAGTGAATATGGGGTTGAGTTCAAACCACGCCCAGCCATCAAAGCTCAAATCCTAGCAGACTTTGTAGTAGAGATGACTACATCGGAAGAGAGCACATCCATACCCACTTGGGCCATCAATGTTGATGGATCATCTACCGCTACAGGAGGAGGCGCGGGTATTGTACTAACAAGCCCAGATGGCGATGAATTCGAGTATGCTAAACGGTGTGATTTCAAAGCCTCTAATAACGAAGCCGAATATGAAGCTTTGATCGCTGGTATCCGCCTCGCTTTAGCAGCTGGAGCTCGCAAACTCATAGTACACAGCGACTCCCAGTTGGTGGTCAACCAAGTCCTTGGGAACTATGAAGCCAAAGAAGAATCCATGGCAAAGTACCTTGCTCTTGCACTTACCCTCCTCTCAAAATTGGATAGCTACGAGATAAAGCAAGTACCACGAGCCAACAATATTGATGCAGACAAGTTGGCTAGACTTGGTAGTTCCATGGCAAGCATTGGAAGCCGGAAAATCACCCTCCTCACGGCTTCCCAACCAGAAATAGTCTCCACCGACGGAGTGAATTGCGCTGAAGAGAGCGAACCCTGTTGGATCACCCCCATTACAAACTATCTCAAAAGCGGGGAACTTCCGACTGACATCGCCCAAGCGAAGAAAATAAAGGTAAGGGCGGCCCGTTTCCTAATGATAGGTGAAGATCTCTACAAGCGAGGGTTCTCCTCCCCCTATCTTAAATGCCTTAACCCATCAGCAGCAGACTATGTGCTTCGAGAAGTACATGAAGGCATTTGTGGTAATCATTTAAGTGGAAGAAACTTAGCTCTCAAAATATTGAGACAAGGTTACTATTGGCCCACCATGCATGAAGATGCGAAAAAACTAGTGCAGAGATGCAAGCCTTGCCAAGAACACGCTAACATCCTTCATCTCCCCGCAGCATTGATGCAACCGATTGACAGTCCCATACCTTTCGCTCAATGGGGAGTTGACTTGGTCGGTCCTTTTCCACCAGCAACAGGAGGACGCAAGTTCCTCATTGTAGCTGTAGATTACTTCACCAAGTGGGTAGAAGCAGAACCTTTAGCTCGCATTCGAGAAGAAGACGTCATCCAATTCCTTTGGAAAAACATTGTGTGCCGCTTCGGCATTCCCCGTTCCATTATTTCGGACAATGGAACACAATTTTGTGGAGACAAAGTCAAGAGTTGGTGCCTTGGCTTATCTATTAAGCAATTCTTCACTTCGGTGGCAAACCCCCAAGCAAATGGTCAAACTGAAGTAACCAATCGCACGATACTTCAACATCTCAAGACAAGACTTGGAAGTGCCAAGGGAAAGTGGGTTGAAGAATTACCCAATGCTCTGTGGGCATATCGAACAACCCCACGAACAGCAACAGGAGAATCTCCATTTAACCTAGCTTTTGGAACAGAGGCTGTAGCACCCGTAGAGATTGGCGAACCCTCTTGGAGAGTCATCAATTATTCACCAGAGGAGAATGAAGGAGCAATGAGGGCTAACCTCGATCTCGTCGACGAGCTAAGAGAGATTGCATCCATCAGACAGCAAATGTACAAGAGTCGCATGGCGAAAGTTTATAACTCTAAAGTCCGCCCTCGCTCTTTCCAAGTAGGAGATTTAGTTCTCCGCAAAGCCGAAGCCTCACGCCCAATCGGCAAACTCGACCCGAAGTGGGAAGGACCATATAAAATCACACAAGTGATTAACAATGGAGCATATCGTCTCGAGAACCTCGACGGACACCCTATACCCAGAACCTGGAATATAGGGAATCTCAAAAGGTTCTACGCTTGAGGTATACATCCATCTTAAATCAAATTTGTTTAAGTTTACATCTATATCTTCCTCATACGAAAGTCGCCTTGCAGGCTTCACAACCTTCCACGTCTCTCTTCATGCAAAAATGTCTCTAAAAGCTCGAGAAGGGACTCCATAACGAGGTGTGTAAACATCCCTCCCAAACTAGGGGGGCTAGTGATATTATCTACATCAACCTTCCATAACACGTCTCATCATCTTCTTACAGATTGAGAGCCAATTACGAGAGGATGCTTACTGACCACCATTCACCCAAAGAGAGAAGATACTCTGTACTATCTCACTAAGGGTAACACCACTTTTACTAAGTCATATCACAAGCACATTAGTGGGTCTCTATACTAAACAATAACGCCATCTCCTTTGACAGGCAGGGTCGCGCAGCAATCCACCGCAACTCATGAGTTGTTCTCATATCTCGGAATGCGAGGAACAGAAAAAGTCCCAATATTGAGTACGTGATCCCAAATACGCATCACTCCAACTTATGAAACTATTAAGTCTTCAATACAAGTACTTGAATTTTTTTTTACCCCGATACTTTTCAGGCAAAGAGACACCAAAAGACAGTAGACATACTACCCTACACCAAGCACGGATGAGCACGAGGAAGACGTGGAAGAAGAATAAAATCTCTTATAGTCACATAGATTACTTTTCAATAGTTCGATTTATTTGTTTTTTACAAGTTATTTCCCTTCGCCTCACGGAAGCTTATGACAATTCGCATTTCTTATTAATGATTAAATCAAGTTTTTACTTTACTCTCAAAGTTATTGTTCATATACTACTTAACCGTTACGACGGGTTCATCTCACTTCAACCCTAAAAACACTTAGAGAAATTAAGATAGTCCATATAGCCTGGCCAGCTGGATTATCTGAGTCTCTCTATTTTGATTTTCAGGGTCCTCATGCTTAAAACGTGGCCATGGACTAAATAATACTCCGACCTACGAGGTCCAAAATAAAGGGCATGATCCCAAAAAATTATAAAAAAATCTTGAGAGACTGATCCCCTCATCAAGAATATCTCGAACAATGTTATATGTAAAACATTAGTGCGAAATCAATGAATAAAAAGAAACAATAACTTTGATAGCAAAATCAACGTCTCAAGGTGCAAACAAATACCAAGTCATGAAGCATGCAAAAATACTAGTGGACATACCCACATAATAAAAATAAAAAAAAAAACCAAGTCTTTTCTAAGGAAAATAAACATAACATCACACCAAACTACACTTTACGAGCAGAAGTAGCTTCGGTAGTTCGGTCATCCGCTTCCGCATCCGAAGCAATTTCAGTACACTCAACATCAATATCCTCTCCATATCAGGAATGTCCTCCTCCATACCTCGAATAATCTTCTCGTCAATTCCACCAACCTTGCGTAAATACTGACGACACGTCCTAACCAAAGGAGCATAAACCCCAGCTATTGCTCGATCTTCGATCATAGCTCGACAGATATCACTCTTCTGAAAGCGACTTTCCCCTTCTAACATAATTGATTCCTTGTAAGCAGCTCCAGCTGAGGAAGCCAAAAACCTCTTCCCCGTAAACTTCTCGACATCATATTTCTCCTTCAGCTCGTCATAACACCGATCTAGTTTCATTAGTTCAATTTTACTCGCCTCGGTCTCGCTCCTACTAATCTCCAATTCATCGGTCCTCTGAATGAGCAGAGTCTCGGCCACTTCTAGTTTGGATTCTGCTGCCTCCAATTGAGCATTTAGCTCTTTCTCCCTTGCCTCCCAACCAGAACGCTCCTCCTCATTGGTCTTCTCGACTTGCTCCTCCTGCTCCAGAAGATACCTCCATATAGCTATAAGCTATATCAAAATTCAAACAGATAATATTAGATTATCGAAACTTATAATTTAAAAAAAAAAAAAAAAAAAAAAAAAATTTTACCCGACACATGTCTCCTCCAGCCAATGAAAGCATATGAGCACGACCTTTACCCGACATCCGACTTCGGTCGTACTCCCCAACGAAATCCTCGGTCTTCTTCAACGCGATAGTATGATCGGTC